AATTGTGTCAGCTACTATAATCATCCATCCATCCATTTTCCACCCCTTCATCCATTTCTGGGTCAGGGGGATGGCCAGAAGTGCCACCCAGTACACATAGTACCAGCCCCTATAACCGTTGTACAATACTGGTCAATTCTAGTACAAGCTTGCATAATCCGGCAAGAGCTGCGTAATTCAATTGACATCCAATGGGCATCAACTGGTTGCGGATTAGTCTGGTTCCAAAATTATATCAGATGTGACGGTTTGTGTGGGAATCCCCCGAGTAAGAAGTCTTGACAATGTTCTTGAAAGTCATGTTCATTGCGTTTGCCGTATCTCCCAGCCCTGCGATGGCCACTTCAAAATCTATCTACATCGCTGGCACTTGGACCGGTCGATGACGAATCCAGAAATGCGAGGTATGGGTGGACATATGGGAAGATCTTGGGCGCTTGGCGAGGAGATGAGGTGTTGGCATTCAGAGGCAGAACTGGGAGGAAACGTGGCTTAAACACAATAGCATCTGGGGTCAGAGCCTGGTCGCCAAGCGGCGACCAGGCTTTTTCTGTTTGGTCAAACAACATTGAGTGCCACTGCACGGTGTGGGAGACCAGACCTGGAAAAATACAGTGATTTTCTTTGTGGAAGGTAATTAATTTCTCTTGTTTGGCCAAGAAAAACAATCAAGTTTCCAATGAGCTGCAGGTAACGGCTGCTTTTGTGCAAGAGTGTCGCGAAAGCAAAATATCCACGTAGCCCATCAATTATAATATAACACATAATTGAAAAAATATATAATAATAATAATAATACCAAGTTCAAATAGAACAAAATATGGTTAGTTAATGATGAATAAAATATTTTATGATGAGGTAAATTTGTCTTAATAATTAATTAATTAATTAATCATTTCTTGATTTCACTTAATTGAACACAATATTTAAACCAAAGAAGCATTAAAGCTGGTGTTATAACCTACCAACCACAACAAAATATATGTAATAAAATCAATCTAACATATTTCTCACTATAAAATTTTTTTGGTTCAATCACTAGTTTTCACATGTATGGTTTTTTGGCCTGTGTCACATTTTTAGATCACCTTTTCATACAGAAAAGTGTAAAACAGTGCTCTTTCTTACAAGTGTGCAACATGTACAGCGGACATGTTTTACGGTAAGATAAAGTCCGATTTGCACATACAAATTATTTCTCTTGGGACAAACCACATTAAGAAAAAATGAGATAACCCAAGAAATTCAACAACAAACACAAATAATGGAGTAACATCCGGCCTGTTGATTTAGAGTCGCTGCTCTGCTGAGTAAATAGGGTTTTTCACCACAGACAGCACCTAGGCCCTGTGCGTGACAGTCGAATCAGAGCCTCTGTCTGCCTAAACAAACTGTGTGCGATGTGGATTGGCACATTATGCATCAATGCTTCCACCCACAGAAATAGATGTAAAAGTAGTTGCAGCATCTGGGTCTTCCGCATTTTCTCTAACAAGGTTTTTAGGCCATGCTGATCGTGAGTGACAGCTACTCCGGCCCATTTTTAGGAAATTGGGGAAAATCTTCAGTGACACGCAACGACTACGACATCCGGGACGATGTTGAAAAAAAAAAAACGTTTTCCCCAAATAACCGCTTTCAAGTCTCATTAATACAACCTCAGGAGATGCATTCAAAGTATACAGTTTTTAAATAGTCAGCACGGAAGACAGAATTGCTCCTACTTTTGCAGCGGTGTTGTCAGCTATCCAACGGTGTTGCAATAGCGAGTTGTTGTATACTTAAATTGACCTACATGGAAAAGATAATGCAATGCTTGTCTGTCTGCGAGAGGGTTTGGGGAGAGTTTCACAGTATTATTTTTTGCTGTTTTTTTGGGGGGATTCTATCGTTGCTAGCATCAGCAGCTTGTTAGCTTCTATCCGCCTCCTCTTGACTGCTGCACTATCATCCCACTATCCCACTAGCCAGAAATGTATGGTTATTGGGTTATAATAATACTCCAGTAGAAGAGAAGGTGGGTGGTGAGACATTGTATGTACCTCAGGATAATTTCCAATAGAAGCAGTTTAACAGGAATGAGACAATGGTAATAATGACCAATTTACCCATACTACAATCCCTGGAAACCAAAAAACACAACAAAAATGACATGCGTAAATGTAGAGATGAAAAATAACCAATGTATTGTGTATGAACATTTGTAAAAAAAAAGAAAGAAAGAAAAGAAAGACAAATTCATCTAGATCAGGCGTGTCAAAGTCATGATGGTAAAATACTAGCTGGTCAGCAGCCATAACTTTTTTTGGCTACACTTTCATAACAAGGTCTCCGTTGTTTTCTTTGTGGAAGTTTGTTTGGCTCTCATTTTGTGCACGTGTGGTTCATTTTCTAGATTGAATTATACGTTATGGGGGTAATGTTTTCTAAATAGTTTTGTTTAACATTTGGATATTCTTTTCTGGTAGACCTTTCTGTTAAGGCTGAGTTTAGCAGACCGACGGTTGACTACTAGATGCTTGATTACGAATTTAGTTGGGTGCGATGTTATAACATGCCATGGTCGCCAAATGAACCTCTTAATGTCAACTCTGCATTTTTATTGAAGTAAGAATTGAAAATCTTATCAGGGCAACTAAAAACATAGCTTGTGTGTTTAATATGCTTCATCCAACTCTTACAGACTTATAAAACAAAAAATGTTTAATAATAGCATTAATAATAACCAAATATACCCAAAACATAAACTATTGCCACCTATTGCATGTATTTACTTGACTAGGTTAGACACTGTTTCATTCTTTTGTGGGAAAAAGGATACTCTGCTGAATTCTATTAGGACTATTTCGACCTCATTAGAATTCACATCTGCTAATCTCGACACAGTGAAATTTGGAGTTTATTTGGAATGGCTTTTAGGCTCCACTCACGGCGCTATCAGACAGATGTTCCCCTCCAAAGGGTCCCGGGCGTCCGCAGAAGACGGGGAGATGTTTATGAAGTAACACATCTGTGTACTGTAGCCTGTCAGAGCGGGAATACGAATGTCCAACCCGCTGGCTCTATCGGCGTCCAAAAGTGAAATATATGATGCAAACCAAATGTTGTGTCCGAGTATATGTAAACACGATCCGCTTGTTTACACCAGCCACTTTTAAATGAAGCGACCACAAGCATCCCGAATTCAAACACATTTTCCCGTGGTGATTAGTGTATAGAAATCATATCAAAGAACAGCTGAAGTATACGCGTAAGAACGGGCCCAGTCATCTTTCACTGTCACTTCTGATTTAGCCTGTGTTTCTCCATGAACCGGCTTTATACACCATGTGAACAAACTGTTTATGTCACAAAATGAGATTTATTCCAAATGTCTGCATGTAATTAATAGTAGTGGTTGATGCGGCTCCGCTTTGGTGTAATGTAATAAACTGGCAAACTTTCCCGAGGTCCTTTTTGTGAGGATGATTAAAGGCAAAACAACCAGATGGGAATTTTCTTCGGATGCAGACGTATATATATGCCTGACAAATAAAGGCACTTCATCACGTTGATGTAAAAATCTCTAAATCCAATATTACAGTCCATAAAGCAGACGTGATTATTGATTTGCAACACTGGCTGTGATGACCGGTTGTAATATAAGGAGATATTAAAGGGGTAGTTGCCCAAATGCAAACTCACTATGTCATAGGACAGACATGTGTTTTACATTTGCACCAACCGCAGCAGCAACAGCGTTATAGAGGGAAATGTATTACGCATTTGTTTGGCTTTTTACACATTTTTTTAATAGTATCATTAAAGTTGTAGAGCAAATTCTGTACATAGGAAATATGGCGGTCATTAAACGTGCTGTAATGTGTGTGTAGTCATATCTGAATGCATATTTAGGGATATGGTAGTGTATATTTTCATTGGCAGATTTGGCCACATTTACATTGTTTGATGTGCATTTATACAATGTACGTCAAATTAATTAATACAAATATATATAGTAATATTATGTGTTTCTGTGTGAGAAAATAAATATTAAATCATTGCCTAAATTAATTTATATTACACTAAGGTTTCTGGTACAGGGTCCATCGCCTGCCTGACTTTATCCATGTACTGTATATTGTATCTATGTAGAAAGGTAATTTCAGTAGAAATCATATATTATCCATCAATTAAGAAAAAAAAATGACTTAATTGTTACTATGGATACAGCTAATGTTTTGTCAAACATTCCAAGCTTGCAGAATCAAATGTTCCTCCCTTCCTTCCTCCTACAAAATGCACCTTGTCTTCTATGTCACTATGTGTGCAGATAAACGTAACGCTGTGAAATGCCTTTGGACACTTTAAGTCTGCCGTGTTACACCACTTTAAAGCTGAGGTATGTGCCTTGAAAAATGTCTTCACGACAGGACTAGTCTTGTAAATGTTAAATATTGGGAACAATTAGACCACAACAGCAACAAGATGCTGAAAGCTGATTGTCTGAGTGAAGGTGGTCCTCTCTTTTTCACTTTTTTGTCTGAAATTATATGCATATAACCAAAGACTTGAATTTTCAGAAGCTTCAAAGTCAGGTTCCCCAGCTTTTAATTTTGTTATGTGTTTCCTAAGTGTTTATGGACTCAGCATAAATCAAATTATAATGTTTGTGAACACATTTGCACCCAAAATTAGACAGCACACATCGAAATATTGAAACCTACTTTTACACTACAGAATCATGACACAGATCTAAAACACTAGCAACACTTTAGGGCTTGCTAATTCCCATGTAGGTCATTGGGAAACGCTGGTGCAGATGGCCAGTCCATTCCATTCGGCACATTTCCGGTACACGCTCTTATGGCGAGATAGTGTCTGCACCGGAGTCACGCTCGGCACACATGGCGATAAATGAAAATGTCAAACCAAAGTGAAACATGGCTTTGAGGCAGCCGCGCCAAACCGTTGTGTGTCTTACAACATGAGATGTGAGTGAAGGTGCGCGAGGCCATTTACCTTGCCCGACTTTCATGATGACTTTCATGGCTCTGCTCTTGCACACGCCCCCCTCGCGGTTTTCCAAGCCCTCCACGGTGCCATTGGAGGTAGCTGTAAAAGACAAGGACGAAGGGAAGAAGAAGAAGAAGAAAAAAGATGGTGGTTAATGAGCATGTCCAAAAACGTAGCCGGCAAATCAATATTTACGACAAGAACTGATTAGCTGTTCCAGTGATTAGCTTGTCTCGCTTTCAATCAACCTCCTGCTTCAACCTCCTGCTATTATCACAATGCAAGTGATTGGAACAACGTTTTGAACCACTAGGGAGTACAGGATGTATAGAGCTGCGCGATTTATCACAATCAAATCGAAATCTCTGTAGTCGCAAATAGCAGATCAGAAAGACTACAATCATTGAAGTTCTACGCCAACAAAAGAGGGACTGAAGATGAACAGCAGTATGTGTCGTATATGTTGAGTTTTTGTCACTGGAAGAAGCAAAGTGTGTTCTGGCTTGTTGTCGGGTAGAAGCGTTATGTTCAGAAACAGAAATATTTTGTCGCCTTTGTCAGTGAGCAAGAAGTAATAAAGTAGGGATAGAAATATGGCGCAAAAAAAAAAAAAAACAGTCCACAATAGATAAAAAAGGCATGCATAAAAACTTTTTAAAAAATAATACTATATAAATACACACAAAAGACAACTGTGCGTTTAATTATTCAAAAGGTGAGTTGTGAGATGGGCTAAGTATCAAAATGTGCACTACTCAGGTCTGAATATAAGAATTTATTTTGTGAGAAAATATACAAAATGAATTCAAGCATTTGTATATTGGTATTGGTAAGAACTATATTTGAACCTGAAGAGGTAATCGCTACAAAATTATTTTTCTTTGAATAAAATAATACGATTTAAACATGATACAGGATAGCAAAATTGCAATGTTGATCTCTGATATGTTATAGATACGTTGCCAAAATCGCGCGGCTCTATCTGGAAGTCGCTAAGGCCAAAGTTTGAAAAAATAAAAAGTGTGTATGTTCAGCGCATACTTTCACAGTGAGACATGCCAAACAGTCACTTCCAGCTGCTCAAGGCTAACGCTAACTCCCTCTGTACCACATGTGTCATTACCCCTCAGTGCTAGCGCTAACAACTAAATGCCTCTTTTAATGTTGGTTATCAAGGCTCATGTGCGAGTGTTAGCTTGAGAAAAGAGTGAGGGGAAGCGGGAAGCTATTTCAGGGCGCTTGATAATGACCTAGGGAGACAACGTGTGACTCTGACCTCAGTGCCAACTTAAGCAGCTAGCACAAGACAGCATGCTAGCACGTGTGGATATTTATATGTATATGTGTGTGGAGGAGGCGACAGCGTGGGCGAATGCTAATTTTGGAATTTCCCAAACGAACTCCTCCTAGGCTGCTGCTGTTTCTACCCTTCCGCTTTATTTCCGAGCATTATCAATCCCGCCCTGAGTTTTCTCCGCCTTTTTTCTTTTTTTTTTTTAAACTTAATTTACAGTTTTATCTGTGAACCATCAGCAGTGGCCCCTCCCCGGCCCGCTTTTAACTCGATGACCATCTCCCAGGGTGATTGCCTGATGGCACCCTCATTACTGTGAGTCTGGAAGAGAGGAGCTTATCTAATGATGACACAATGAAAGACGGGGCCGGCCTTCAAACAGCGGGGAGGGCCCAACAATGCACCGCTAATATGGAGATGGAGCTGTCCTGCTGCTCGTATGGTGTGTTTACAAGAATTACTTCAGCATAAAACAAATTATGGGTCAGACATGGGAAGACTTTGACACAAGAAATTGGTCTTTTGGTATTGCCTTTTCTCCCACTAGAAGACAGCCAGCGTTCTCCTTACGCTTCATAGTATGAAAAATATCTAAAAGTAACTGTTAAGGATACATTTCCCAATTGGTCCAACAGAGAGTCTTATAAAAGTAAAATATTGTGAACAAATCAGACCACAATATAAATAAAGATATATTAGGATGAATCTATATATATCATAAAACATTGTATATTTGTCATACTTGTGAGAAAGAGCCCTGGTAGTCACTATTTAATGCATTGAGATTATCTGATTGGCTGAGCAAAAGAGATACAAAGAAACGTGAATTAGTTCCATGGATTTTCATACATAGTTATATTTTTTGTGGATTGAAAGTTAGGTACATCGGCTTTAAATATTATTTGGGTCTGGGTCTGGTCTAAAATACGACACAAATGAAAAACACAGACAATGACAATGTGCAAATTCTGGTATTTCAAATGAATAAGACATATTGTAGGGTATGTAAAATATGGCATTTATAAAATCCCAGAATAAGGCAGTAATGCTTTGAAATGTCGCTTCTTGCCGTAGTCTTTTGAAAACAACAGGATTTTTCGACAAAAATATACAGAGCTGGAAAATGCTTTGACAACATTTCAAGTTTCTTTCAATCTATTTAAATATATTTCACCAAATGATCATTACATAGCCTATAATAGTACAATTTCCCAATGTTCCAAAAAGCAGATGGAACAAATGACCACTAATAGGGCTGTTGTACCCTGCTGGTTGGTCCCATGCTGGAAGCGTCACCCCGGTGTAGACCTTTCGTTGGATCACCTCGAGTTGGAGCGCCGGTTTTCGGAGAGCTGTGGAAAGCTCATCGAGTTGATTCATGGCTTGTCATTCCTAAGTGTTATTAATGTTGACATTTTGTTTCCCAGTAGGATTCCAGCTTTGTGCTCAGTCAGGATTGAAGAAATAATGAATTGTGCTAATATTATGTTACATTACAAACCAAATTACAAGGGGAGCAGGGGCGTCGTGTTAGTGAAGCTAGTGCTAATTTGTGATAGAGATAACATCTTGACATGGGCTTTCCAGTGAAATCCCTGGCTGTAGACTCAACAGGATGAAGCGGGCTGCATGATTTGAGCCAGGGACAGCTGAAGGGGGCTTGGACGTGAGGACGAGAAGAACAAAAAGATGTCAAACAAAGGACATTAATGTGGACACTCAAAAGCTAAGAGCGTTTTGATTTATGCACGGACTGAGCAGAGGCTTTGTCTGTTCTTTAGACCTGTTCTCAGTCATACAGAGAAGTCAAAACCTCGCCATCACCTCATCCTTGCCATTTTTCCACCCAAGTTCAACAGTCTTTTTCACAATTCCTGCATTTCCAGGGCAAGGTTAGACAAAAATTAGTTCTTTGAAGACAGGGCTCGAAGGTACTTGAATAATCTATCCGAGAGTGAGAGTCTTGCTATGAATTTTATATCCACATAGGGAGAGCAAATCTCGCAGTGTTAACTTGCTTCTGTCATCTAAATTAGCTATTGCTTCAGGCAGGCTGCGCAGTCTCCGGCCGTACTGATGTGGCATGATGATAAGTGGGGCCTTGGGGGCTACTGTTTAGAGGGACAAGTGAAAAAAGTGGTGGATTTATTCAAATGCTTGATGACTTTATGTGTTGTTTGTATTCCAACAGTTTAAGACGTCAAATAAGCCAGCGTATTTATGGAAATCTGTAATCTGGTTAAGTGTGTCTAGTTTGAACCACTTGCTTTATGCAAAAGTACTTTTCAAGAGGGCAAAAGCAACTGTTGAGTGCATTAAAACGATCCAATGAATAACATTAAGCAATGTTTTGTGCCCTGTCCCCATAACCCTTGTCTTATCTCTCCCTGCTTACATCTATCATGTCAAAGATCGTGGCGCAAAGGCGATTTACCCAACCACATTCTAGAAATCTCCCCAACTCTTCCAACAAAGACACCGTGCCAGTTCTGGTTAATCTAAAAGTCGCTCACTCATGCCGCCCCTCTATTCGCTCCGGCACATATAATCCAAATCGGGATTGCAGGATATTAAAAGGCAGACGGTCATCATGGGTGGCGTTTGCAAGAGTAAAAAAAGGAGATAGGAACGATGTGATTTGAGTGTCCTCGTGTGTGTCCCGCGAGAGACAGTAAAACTCCGGGGGATCGGGCAAAGACGGAACTAAGAACAAAGAAACTCCTGCTGCTACGATGATTTAGTGGAACAAAATCTTGAATACCAGAAGAAAACGGTCATTGTATGAAGGAATGTTGCTTTTTTAATAAAGTGCTTTGGCTCCGTAAATGGCTTTTTCTGTGATTTAAAGCACTTTTGGTGGGTGTGGATCGTTGGCCGTGCACAAGTGGGAGAACAAAAAGATCTACAGCTGCTGAAGTCATAAGAGGAACCAGGTGCCAAATGTTGATGTTGGGAAATATCTACGGTTCAAATGTGTGGAGCAGAACTGAGAGAGTCCAGTGGGGAACAGACAGGCTCCTGTTCAACCAACATTATAAAAAATATACTTTTACTTTTAATATATATACAAATTAAAAATGCGTGGTATGAGATTTACAGATGCGAAATCCATGCTTTGCCAAATATAGCAAAACATAACCTGTCTCTTATAATTAAAACAATAATTAAAATAAATACATATTAGACATTTTAGAAACCTCCATCCCTAATTTCAAGACATACTTTACTGAATTGACACCAACAATATTTCATTATAAAGCATTATAGCTCATTTTATTCAGACATTTTTTATTCAACAAATTTTTTGAGCTTTTAACCATATTACAGCATTGTCCCCTCATCTAAAAAAAGATTTGTTTTTCAGTTTTTTTCAGATACACCCATAATAATATCAGGAACTTCTGTCTCCATGTATGATGTATGATGTATGATCAATCAATTTTGTTTCCAGTAGGCTGGATTACTGCAATGGCCTGCTCACAGGTATCTCCAAACATGCAGTAAGACAGTTGCAGTATATTCAAAATGCTGCAGCCCGAGTCCTGACTAGAACCAGGAAGTACGACCACATTAGTCCGGTCCTCAGGTCTCTGCACTGGCTTCCCGTGGCCCAGAGGATAGACTTTAAAGCAGCTCTCCTGGTGTACAAGTCTCTCCATGGCCTTGCACCAAAGTACATCCATGATATGCTAGTCCCATATGAACCAGCCCGGACTCTGAGGAGCGCAGGGACGGGACTCCTGTTAGTGCCCAGAGTCAGGACTAGACAGGGGGAGGCTGCTTTTCAGATCTATGCAGCTAAAGTCTGGAACAGTCTTCCTGAGGATGTGAGACTGGCTGCCTCTCTGTCAATGTTCAAATCCATGTTAAAGACTTTTCTTTTTTCCCGTGCATACAACTAGAGAATTTTATCTTTTTAACACACCTTGTTATTTATTGTTGTAACTTTTTGTGTTTTTAACTATTTTATTGTTTTTAATTACTTGTGTGATTTTTATGTTTTTAAATTACTTATGTGATTTTAATGCTTTTTAATTAAATATGTGTTTTTAATTGTATTTTAATGGTGATGATTTGTGCATTGTGTGGTGTGGACTGTGAGGCGCTTTGTGTTGCCCTGTGCAGGAAAAGCGCCCTATAAATAAAGATTGATTGATTGATTGATTGATGATGTCATCGTAGTATGACATCACGCTCAGAGCACCGTTCTGCTATTTAAAGCATTAAGTATTGTCCATACATTTGTTTTGGTAATTTCTAAAGTGAAATTATATCCTTTGCGCTCACATGATTGTGTTGGTTGCTGGTAATTTTCTAATTTGGGAAGAAAAAACAAAAGGAATTTAAATTTACAGTCGAATAGTGTCGGGCGGCACGGTGGCTGAGTGGATAGCACTCTCGCCTCTCAGCAAGAAGGTCCTGGGTTCAAATCCCGGTCGGACCAGGGCCTTTCTGAGTGGAGTTTGAATGTTCTCCCCGTGTCTGCGTAGGTTTCCTCCGGGCACTCCGGTTTCCCCTACCACTAAAAATATGTCCAATAGTTCTAGCATGCGCCTCCTAGAACTATTGGCGACCCCGCTCCCATCTCTGTGTGGAGTGAGAGACAAATGCCCAAACATTAACAATTGTAAACCGCTTTGAGACTCAAATCTGCAGTGAAAAGGCAGTATATAAATAAAGATTACTTTTACCCCCACACTTGTTTTACTATATATTTTCTACTTATGGTATTAGTGAACGTTCTAAAACAAGAATGTGTAACAAGAACTGCTGAGTCTGTGCAAATGTCACTGAAAGTTCACTATAGTAACTTGTCACTAGCCACTTTACCTGCTGTTAGTATTACTGTATTATTAGATATCAATCTGATATTTCTGCCATTCACAAGTCACTTTACCTGTTGATATTATTTCTGATATGTATTCTGTTCATATGCATATTCCCATATTCTCCGCTGCTAAAGTACATAGACATCTGTAAATACTTTTGTGCAATAAGTGCAATTATAGCCCAGAGTTTATTTTATTTTATTATATTCTTATCTTAATTGTGTTGTCTTATTTGATGTGTGCAATCTGAGTGCTCTTATTTCCTCTCTCTGCTGTAATGTGCGCAACGATGACACTGAAATTTCTCCACTGTGGGACGAATAAAGGTTCATCTTATCTGATCTTAAAACATGAAATGAAAAAGTAATCAGTCTCAAAGAAAATGCATAATATTTCTTCTCTCACATATCATTTCACTAACAAAACAACACCACTCAACACTATCACAACAATCAACACACTGCATTAGCAATTGCATCATCTGTTTTTCCTTTCTCACTCCAGCCTTGATTTTCGTGAACCAAATTTCACAAGGACGATTAGGGGAGAAGGCAGGTCGTCTCCCTCGGGTGCCCCGGCTGAGGGTGGGACGACCGCGGTGCTGAGTGGGCCAAGCGACACCCTCCGCCGATGCGCTCGCTCTATATTTATACTCAGGTCTGTCTAAATGAGGTCACCCAGGTGGTCCCACTGAATACATTCCCCTATCTCCATCATGAATCATCCACTGCTTATTATTCCTGTGTCCGGCCCACGGGGGATAGCTTTCATACAGTGTGCAATAGTCCGATACAGTGTCTACGTGATCACGCGCCCGACATGTGCGCGCAAATCTGCCCAAAGCGAAAAACGAGGCAATAGATGGAGCCCAAGTGACAGACAGGGAGCAGGTTGTTTAATGAGAAAGTGGATGAGAGGTGACATTCATTGGCTACCATTCACACAGCCCCCCTCCTCCCACTCCAGCCCCTTGGTTTTCCACTGCATTCAGACTTCCACTTAGAGGCGAGCCAGCATCTAGTCACTGTAACCGCCGGTAATAATGTCTACTTTAGAAAAAAAAGGGAAAAAACTGCAAAAGATCATTCACGACCAGCGTCAATGAATAACACTTTTGTTTTATGAGTCTGTACGGAGAGTTCACGTTAAGTATTATCGTAGTAACTGTTTTCCTTCATAATGCTGACTTATATTAAGGTAGATACAGCAAAGACAATGTAAGTAAGTAAACAGGGCTAGCTCCAGCAAGAACATGCTAATTCAAAGCGTTTTTAGAGTGATACACATTTGGGAGAGTTGCCATGGCAATTAACTGAAACTAAAACTCATGAAGACAAATCCAGCAGTGACGCTCGCTAAATTAAAAAATCTCAAATGATCTTAGACCAAGCCAAGATCAATCCTTCACTATTTAGCAGGACAAATACATATTTCAGTTTCGGAATCATTCGAGGGTAAAACGAGTCGCCATACAAGAGCGTCAGGTGGAGCCATCAAAACAAATCATCAAAACACAATCCGCTATACTCATGCCTTCTGTCTCATACATTAGTAAACAGGACTACAAAGTCTATGGCCAAGCAAAGGGAAGCTATTTGCACAAAATATTTCACTCTTGGATGAGCACGGAGAGGGTTAGATTAGGTTTACGGGCCCGATTCCAGAGATAACCCCCGTTGAGCGGCCCTGGCATGCGAGTTTATTCCACGTGCACGACAACAAGCACGCGCACGCCACAACTGAGCGACCTCGCGCAGAGTAAGGTTGGCAGACTGGAATAATACCGGAGGATCTAGATGTTTGCACTTTGAACCTTTTCTAATCCACAGTATTAGGGCATGGCTAAAGCCTGATTATTGCTGAATGAAATGGATCTAAATATATGTCCCGCGCTATCAACGTCCTCACTTTTTTGTCCTAGAAACAGGATTGGAAAGAAGTAATCAACCTCACTTCTACAATGTAGCCTCCGTCGGCAAAAGAAAATTCATTCAGACTTCTCATATCAGCTCAGATGAATTAGGCATGCCCTGTTCTCATCTCTTTCAGGAATAAAATCCGACAGACAATCTGAAACAGTCTAGTCTAACGAACCGTGGCTTTATATTCCCTGCCAAAGCCAGCATTGAAACCTAGTTTGGATACATGTGCTTTTCACTAATGAGCAATGGGCACTTTCATGTTTGACAATAGCTGTTTTGTTGATTCTTTTTTTAAGATCTCACCGTGTAGCAATCTGATTTCATTTTGTTCCCGTGAGCATATTATTTTGTAGTAGTTGGAGAGCTAGCAGGTAAACAAGCTTCAATACCAAAGTTTAGGCACAGTAAGCGGCCCAGTGCGAGCAAGCTGAGCTGTCTGTGTCGGTACATAGCCACAGGGGGAGCTCTCCTCTTGTGATTACTTTGCACAAGGCAGAGTGTACAAAACACACGGGAAAGAAATATAGACATGCAACCGCTGACGGCTCAGAGAAGCACACTGGAACACGTGCAAGCGCATAGACAAATATAGAGCGCGCACACTTTTGCTGTAGCCAGAAGATCAGGCAGGACTTAAGAGCTCCTCCAGCACCGAAATTACAGGGTACCTCTAAATCCTCCCAGCAGAGTGCACTATGGGATTGCACGGGGTGGGGTGTAAGCACGAAGGGGGCGAGAGAGGATAGGGTAGAAAGTCCAAGAGCTGGAGACATACCAAGCCAAAGTGCACCGACTACATATTTGAGCAAAATAGCATAGCCCTACTTTATCCAGAGCTTCATCTTGTAACTGGGTTTTCTCACCTAATTATGCCCCGCTCATACGAGGAATCAGAGTCGAAATTGCAGAACGAGAGCCAGAAAATAAGAAGGGTAACTATGTTGGGAGCTGGCAGGTAGGGCAGAGCAAGTGCAGAGCAGGGCGCCTTGTTAACGTTCCTCAAAAATCACAATGTAACACTCGGTAAGCCAGCATATTCTTGCACCTTACACACACAATTTGAGTTTAGCTGCTCATAAAGTTTCTGCCAGTGAATGTGATCGTGCACTTCATGGTTTTGATGTAGTCGATTTAAAGGACATCCAAAAGCAATATGTGCATTTTGTGGTTAAATTGATGGCAACGGTTTTCAGACATAAAATCCAAGGCATGGATTAAGGAATAAACTGTGTTTAATGTTCTACAGCGAAGGGTTTCTGACAATTTTCACGCAGCCTAAGAAAAATATGTGCTGTTCCAAGTGCCTATCATGAGAAAGTAAAATGACTTGCATTGTCTAGCGTAGTTTAGCAAGCAACTAGGGAATGGGACAAGACATAATTCCCATGAGAACGAGGCAAGACACAATTTTGAAATACTTTATAATACAAAGCAGCAGTTCAGTTCAGACATTACATCTACTGTGTCTGCTGTCAATGCCGCTCTTTTTCCATCTCGAAAGTCTGCAGCAGTTGTCTTTTATGTCTAAGAAAAGCAAAAACATTAGGAATTCTCAAAAATGATTTACTTGCTCTCCCTGTCCTATCACATCACATCCGTTAACAAGAAAATAATACTATTCAAGCATTTAATGAACTATAAGAGACATGGCTATCACTGCAGAGTAATGTCACAGCCTTTTCCAATGTAACATAACAACAGGTTGCGTGACATTCTCCAATCTCCTCTATATCTGCAGCCACTGCCCTTACATGCGCACTGAAAGGTACAACATGAGCAGAGTCGTGCAAAGCAAGCCAGAGACAAATTTGTAAAAAAAAAAAAAAAAAAGTTTGTGAACCGATGCTGGGAGGAGTGCAGCCTGATCCATCTGAAGTGGACTTGCGTGTGCGCTGAGTGATGCAAGGGCGCGAAGGGGGAGAGGCGCATGTGTCCGTGGGGGGAGTGTAGCAGGAGGTGATGAAGTGAGATGAGGAGGAGGACAACCAAAAAAAGCATGGCGAAAAAAAGAAGAAGAAAGAGAAGACGATGGAGATGAGTGGTCCGAGTGACGCTGGGGAAACATATGTGTGTGCCTTGGACCGACCGTTGTGCACCAGAGCCTCCTGCCAACTCCCATCTCACTCACACTCACCCTCCCTGCTTGTCTGCCGCAGGTCTACCATTCGTTTGTGTGTTTTGGCCCATGTTGCAGCCCTTCTTATGTTTCAACCCAGAAGCGGCGTATTTATGTGCAAATTATTATTTCAGCATGTCCAAGTGTCCTTAGTCTAAACGCCTTTTAGCCGTTCGTTCACGTTGGATGATTTGATTCGTGTTGGCAGATCAACGTGACATATACTCGTGTGGTCCCAAGATTACTCAGTCTAAAGGTTGGATATTACGGACAACTCTGACCTGGCTGAATGCCTCTTGAAGACGTCCTATGACAGCTTTTAACCTTTGCAGTGGGGGCTGTCAGCGCCTCCCCCAAGTGTGCGAAGATGTGTATGTGTCCGTACAAGACTTGCGGGCTGCAGACACAGAGAGGGCTTCTGCATCATTTAGCCGCGGGTGTCTCCGTGTCACCTCTCTCCTCGGATGTATCCAACGGGCCAGGACTTTTACACCACTGCACTTTCCACTCTCCATTTCCCAACTCAGCATGCTGCCAAGTCCCACTCGCTCTTCTCTCTCACCTCTCCGCTCCATAGCACAAAACTTCTACCGTTTGCACACTTCAATATAACTTTGCAATGGAAAAATAAAGCCATTCTCATGCTCAAGGCGTAATATACCTCCTATAGCAATGTTTGGTCAACAAACCAAGAGGGATTGGTCTGGCTTTTCCATGTTAAGCACCTTGAGATGACTTTAGCGCTGAAAAGGCACTTGATAAATATAGATGAATTGAATTGAAAGCCGCATGAGTCTCTAGTGGCGCAGAAAGCAACATTCAGTTTTCGTGTTGATGCACCTGGTTGGCAAAATTTGATTTGCAGCATTCCTATCAGATCAAAAACATCTAGCGGAAGAAATACAGGGACTAAAGGTAATGCATCGAAAATGACGCCTCATTCAACTTCAATTACTGCTAACTCATGGGTAACATTTGCAGAAGGAAAATGGTATAGTGCATTATTATATTATCAACGTCTGTTCTCTGAGTATAAGACTGTCAAGATTATTCAATATAGATACATTTCCTAAATGTAGTCTAACAATTGAAATGCAAAACACATTTAGGTGAGTGGCAAGGAAAAAGCTTCAGATTATATGTGTCTAAGATAAGTCTAGACAAAGTTTTCTTTTCTCGTGCTAAAATCTCCAACACTAGGATGACGCCATTGAAAGCCTCATAAGCTCCTCTCCCCATGGTCGGGTTGTTTATTGTGCCAATCGTGTGTATCCTCAACTCTGTGATCCCTGCTCCCTGGGTACGCACCTGTCAGATTATAAGGGCTCTCCTGCTCTTGCTCTTGTGTATGAGCGTGAGGATTGCGTGGTTGAAGAAACGAGAGAGGGAAAGGTAGTGTGTTGTCAAAAGGGCCCACATATGTCATGTAGGAGAGGCTCAGTCCGATCTTGTTTGAGACAGATGACTTGCTCGGCTCCCCAAGGTCCCCGCGTTATTCTGCATCCCTTATTCCGACAGGCTGGCGTATGACTTTTATTTGTTTGCGCCCACAACTGGGCAGACGTAAAATTTTTCAGAGTCCATCTTATGACTTGTCCGATGCTGTTTTCATCTCAAGGCAATAATAGTGCAATGTTTGTGCTCACTGACCCATTGTGTCCTTATGGGGTAGTCATGACTTCTTTTGTATTCATGGTTTTAGCAACAAGATGGAAGCAAAGTCAATGATAGAATAGGAAAAAGAACGTTTGCATTGTCATGAATAATTCACAGTTTTATATTTTATCTTTCCAGATGCCAATAGGCTTCAAAATGGCACCCATGAACAGAAATATTAATATCCTGTGTAACCTGACACCTACCATAGCTGTGTGCTAAAAATAATAATATTTAGATAGACATGGATGGTATTTAATTGGAGGGTTTTTCCTTAATATTGTTTATTTTTGATTATTGAATTATATATATTTTTAACAATCAAACTGAATAAAATATGCACCAAAAATTGTGTCTTTTTTTTTAAATGTGGCAGAGCACAAGCGCCAAAAGCCTTTATTTTTTACTGAAATTGAACTATTTGAACAGTTCCTTTTCCTCTAATGGAGCCAGACTGCATGTGGAACACTTTTCCCACTGACCTAAAACTACAAACCTACAAAACCATCTTCACCAGACGTCTGCAACTGTGTGGCTGAAATTAGAGCAAAGTTGTTCTCATGTTTAATGACTTTACATTAATTGTATGGTTCTCGTCTCTCCTTAGCCACATTCTCGTCTCCCTTCCTTCCTTAGTGTGGTGGCATCTATATGCCACATGGTTCTCGTCTCTTCCTTCCTTTAGTGGCATCCGTAGTGCCACATGGTTCTCGTCTCCTCTTCTTCCTTAGTTCGTAGCATCTATAGTGCCACATGGTTCTCGTCTCCTCAGTCTCTCCTTCCTTCCTTAGTGTGGGAGGCATCTATAGTGCCACATGGTTCTCGTCTCCCTTCCTTCCTTAGTGTGGTAGCATCTATAGTGCCACATGGTTCTCGTCTCTCTTCCTTCCTTAGTGTGGTGGCATCTATAGTGCCACATGGTTCTCGTCTCCTTCCTTAGTGTGGTGCCTTGCCACATGGTTCTCGTCTCCCTTCCTTCCTTAGTGGTGGCATCTATAGTGCCACATGGTTCTCGTCTCCCTTCCTTCCTTGGTGTGCCTTAGTGTGGTGGCATCTATAGTGCCACATGGTTCTCGTCACCCTTCCTTCCGCATCTGCCACATGGTTCTCGTCTCCTTCCTTAGTGTGGTGGCATCTATAGTGCCACATGGTTCTCGTCTCCCTTCCCTTCCTTAGTGTGGTGGCATCTATAGTGCCACATGGTTCTCGTCTCCCTTCCTTCCTTAGTGTGGTGGCATCTATAGTGCCACATGGTTCTCGTCTCCTTCCTTCCTTAGTGTGGTGGCATCTATAGTGCCACATGGTTCTCGTCTCCCTTCCTTCCTGGCATCTATAGTGGCCAGCATGGTTCTCGTCTCCCTTCCTTCCTTAGTGTGGTGGCATCTATAGTGCCACATGGTTCTCGTCTCTCTTCCTTCCTTAGTGGTGGCATCTATAGTGCCACATGGTTCTCGTCTCTCTTCCTTCCTTATGTGTGGCATCTATAGTGCCATGGTTCTCGTCTCCCTTCCTTCCTTATGTGTGGCATCTATAGTGCCACATGGTTCTCGTCTCCCTTCCTTCCTTAGTGTCGTGCATCTATAGTGCCACATGGTTCTCGTCTCCTATCCTTCCTTATGTGGTGGCATCTTGCCACATGGTTCTCGTCTCCCTTCCTTCCTTAGTGTGGTGGCATCTATAGTGCCACATGGTTTCTCGTTCCTTCCTTAGTGTCGTCTCATGGTTCCGTCTCTCCCTTCCTTCCTTAGTGTCGTATAAGCATCTATAGTGCCACATGGTTCTCGTCTCCCTTCCTTCCTTAGTGTCGTGGGCATCTATATGCCACATGTTCTCGTCTCCCTTCTTCCGTCTACATCTATAGTGCCACATGTTCTCTGTCTCCTTAGTCCTTAGGTGGCATCTATAGTGCCACATGGTTCTCGTCTCCCTTCCTTCCTTAGTGTTGTGGCATCTATAGTGCCACATGGTTCTCGTCTCTCTTCCTTCCTTAGTGTGGTGCATCTATAGTGCCACATGTTCTCGTCTCCCTTCCTTCCTTAGTGTGTGGCATCTATAGTGCCACATGGTTCTCGTCCCCCCTCCCTTCCTTCCTTAGTGTAGGTGGCATCTATAGTGACCCTCTTTCTCCCCACATGGTTCTCCAAAACGCCCTACCCTCCCTCCCGCAGCTCTCCTCGCAGCTCTCCTCGCAGCTCTCCTCAGCAGCTCTCCTCGCACTCTCCTCGCAGCTCTCCTCGCAGCTCTCCTCGCAGCTCTCCTCGCAGCTCTCCTCGCACTCTCCTCGCAGCTCTTCCTCGCACTCTCCTCCCTCGAGATCACGTGGACCCGAGGGGAGCTACCACGGCAGCACCACGAGGAGGATGCAGCTATAGGCGCAGCCTGGCCCCTCTGCGCCCTGTCACGCACAACTCACTTACCCGCTGAAGAGCTTCCGCAGTCCCCCCATCCCCCCGGACCCACCCCTCCTACAGAACCCCGCCCTGCCCTGCACCCCCTGCTCACACAGAGCGTACGAGACCGAGACAGAGACCGAGACTTAGACTTCACTGGTCTCATGAAGAAGAGACTATGGAAGATAGACACATGTAAAGTTTACTGGTCCTGAGTTATAGCGCCACAATAGATCCCGACTGAGACTGTAGAACTCCCGACTGAAGGCTGTAGACCCATACGGAGCTGTTAAGCAGTAGACCCAAGACAAGGCAAAAAGCCCCAGGACTGAGGCGTAGATAACCCAGACTGAGACTGTAGACCCAAGACTGTGAGACTGTAGACCCAGGTACTGAGACTGTACACCCAGGACTGAGACTGTAGACCCATACTGCGACTGTAAACCCAACTGAACTAGCTAGAGACCCAGTACTTAGAGCTATTAGACACCCAGACCTGAGACTGTAGGTACCCAGACTGAGACTGATAACCCAGGACAGAACCGTAATAGGCCCAGCCTCACTGTATAAACCCAGACTGAGACTGTAATAGACCCCGGACTGAGACTTTATAACACCGAGGACTCAGACAGGTAACCTCAGGACTGAGGGCTGTAGACCCATGTCTGAGGACTGTAATAGACCCCGGACTGAGACTGTAGACCCAGGACTCAGAACTGTAACCCAGGACTGGGCTGTAGACCCAGGCCTGAGGCTGTAGACCCGACTGAGCTGTAATACACCCAAGACTGATGCTGTAAACCCAGGACTGAGGCTGTAAGACCCGAGGACACATCACTTAAAAACTTGACTTAAAATGACTTTAATAAAGTGTCACCTTGTCGTTAACACGTCAACCTACGTCCGTCCCCCTGCCCCCCCAGCGCACCCAATCCACCCCCCACTCGAGTAAGACGGCCTCGCATTCGGGACCTCTGGCTCGGCAACGCGACCCCGATGAACGAGACGGTGCCTCAAACGCCCCTGACGTCCCGAACCCAGCCGGATGTTGTAGACCGGACAGTGTGAGCTCTCGCACAACGTCGTCCGTAACATCGACTGCTCCTCTGACCACTCACCGGCTCACATGGAAACCCTTGCCGGTGCACTGCCGCCGTTAACTCGGTGCTACTCTGTTGCCTCCTCTTATCCTCCCGTCCTGCGTCTGTCGCTTCTGTCGACGCAATGTTTGGTCTTTTAATCAATAACATATCAAAAACACCTGGAAGGATTTTGGTTGCTTTTTTGTTTTCGTTTATTTGGAATGGCGTTTTCTGGATTTTTTTTTTTTTCTTTCCGCCTGCTTTTTGTTCTTTTGGCTTCATTTCTTTGACCCATGTCTCAGTTTCATTCATACAGTAAGAGGCTGTACCAGCCGCAAAGACTGGGAACTTTCAATGGAAGCGTGTTTAGTTCTAAGTGACAAGCAGTCTAGCAAACACTAAAATATACTAGAATTAGTTATAAAAAGACCATAATCGGCTAAGTCGAGGCTAATCGAACAAGTCGGACTAATCGGAGGACTAAGCGCTCATCGGGCTAATTCGACGAAGTCCGCTCAGCACGCTAAGTCGACTAAGTCGGACAAAGGTCGGCTAATCGAGCAAATCGACTAATAGGGCTAAGTCGGGCTAATCGCAACATCGGACTAATCGGCTAAACCGCCATCGTCTAATCGGCTAAGTCGAGCTAATCCTAATCGGCTAAGTCGGACTAATCGGGGCTCAATCGGACTAAGTCGGCGCCAATCGGGCCAAGTCGGTGCCACGTCGGCTAAGTCGGCTACAGTAAGTCCTAAGTCGGCTAATCGGGACTAAGTCTGGACTAAGTCACTACATCGGGCCTAAGCGGCCAAAGACGCTGCCAAGTCGGCCAAGTTCGGCCTAATTCGGGCTAACGGCTAAGTCGGAGGGCTAAGTCCGGCTAAGTCCACTAAGTTCGGGCTAAGTCGGCTGTTCGGGCTAAGGCGTGCTTGAGCGGGCTGATCGGCTAAGGCGCTAAGTCGTACAGGACCAAGCGGGCTAATCGACTAAGTCAGCAATCGGCTAAGCGGGCTAAGCGACTAAGCACAAACCCTAATCGCGCCTAAGTCGGGCTAAGTCGGGGCTAAGTCGGGCTAAGTCGGCTAATCGCCTAAGTCGCGCTAAGTCGGGACTGATCGGGCTAGTCGGTGCTAATCGGGCTAATCTGGCCAAGTCGGTACTAAGCACTAGAGTCGGGCTAAGTCGGTCTAAGTCTAGGCTAAGTCCGACTAAGTCGACAAGTCCGGAGCAAAGTCGCCATTCGGCATCCGCCTAGACGGGCCGAGTCGGCCGAGTCGAGGCCATCGGGCATCGGGCCGAGTCGGGACCCAATCGGCCTAATCGCCTAATCGAGCCTAAGGTCCTAATCGGCTAAGTCGACTAATCGACTAAGTCGACTAAGTCGGGACTATCGGGACTAAGTCTGCAGCTAAGCTAGGCTAAGCAGCTAGGCGGGCTAAGCGCTAATCGGACTCAAGAGGCGGGCCTGAGTCTGCTAAGTCGGGACTAAGACGGACTAAGTCCCCTAAGATCGGGCTAAGTCCGACTAATCGGGACTAAGTCGGACTAATCGGCTAAGTCACTAAGCGGACTTAAAGGCCGCTAAGCGGCTAAGCGGCTAACGGGCTAATCGGGACTAAGTCGACTGAGGCGCCTAGTCGGGCTAGTCGGACTAATTCGGGACTAAGTCGACCCTTAAGTCGAGCGAGTCACAGAGGTCACAGAGTCACAGGAGTCACAGAGGTTCACACAAGTCACAGCATCACAGAGTCACGGAAGTCACAAACTAGGAATCTCTTGGCTCCAGTGCAGAGAAGTCGTTAGAGTAAAAAAGGTAACAGGCAGCATAAACGATCGTCGATAAACCAGATTATTAACCCCAAAATCCACCTCAGTCTACCCCAGACTTACCCCATCCCAGTATCACACGTACAAGACATCAGCTGCAATCTTTCCCTCAGCATCAGCCCCGCCCCCTGCCCCCTAACCTGACTGACCTCGCTGCTCCTCCCACCCTCATCCCCCGCCTCCCCACCTCTTCCTCCCCCCTGACTGCTCCCTGCAGTCCATGCCACCCTGAACGCCCTCCCCGACGCCTCGCCGTAACCCCCCCCTCGCTATGCCTCTCCCCAAGCTAACGTAACCCCCCGACACAGCTACAGAGATGCCCCCACCTAGGCCTCAATAAAGAACCTGAACCAATCCACCACCGCGCCCTAGACCCCGCCCCACCCACCC